GCGATACAAAGCCGTAATTAAATTGAACAGTCCCTTAGTGTAGTAGTAATTAGCGATACAAAGTAATTAAATTGAGTAGTCCCTTAGTGTAGTAGTAATTAGCGATACAAAGCCGTAATTAAATTGAGCAGTCCCTTAGTGTAGTAGTAATTAGCGATACAAAGTAATTAATCTGTCCAGCACTCTTCATAGCGATGCTTCCCAAATTCTTTGCTGGCGTCAAAATACCGAGTTTTTCTCCACCATATCTTGTCAATGTCATAAGTCTTTAAAGCAGTGTACAGAACTTTCCAAAAAACCATAGACGCCTGCTGTACGTTAGTGACAGGCTTGTCATATAATTCTGCTTCAACTCGGCTAGGACGACAATTATTTCTGTCCCGCCAAGGTTTCTGCGGGCTGCAGCAAGCAAAGTGAAATGCCCTCACAGGCTGATAAACAACCCTTTGCGGGTTGTACGCGTAGGAAATTTGATAAAGTTTTCCAATAGAACTAAAATAGTAATTCAGTACGGCCTCATCGTCCCAACAACTGTCACTTGTAATGTCGCTTGGATCTTTTTCTTTTGCTATGCTTTCCCATAAGTTCATAATTGACTCGTAGTGATGTAAGTCTGGTCTAAATACAGAAAACCCAGCACTGAATTTAAAATACATTAGTCCTGGTCTTCTGACCGGGGATGTTCCGTAATCGGCGCCTATTTCAAATAGTTCATCTATGTTGCTCATAAGTAGGTAGTCAGGATCTGCGTATATTATCTTTGAATAATTTGTATATCTCCACCCATGGAATCTTGTATGAGTACCTTTAATCCTTTGCCAACGGGGCTTGGTAGGAGTATGCAGCCCTAGTCGACGCTCCATCCATTCGCAATCCATTTTTTGTTCGATCTGAACGGTCCATCCGACCCTTTTCAAGGTCTCCTTGGATTCTTCGCTTACCTGTATTTCAATATTACAAATAGATTATACGATTGAAACTTTACAAAAGCGACTAGTAAACTGTCTTTGTTTGCTAAACATCACATCAATACCCTTTACTTATATTGGGAATCACCAAAAACCTMTAAGGGACTTAAAGMGTGTAACGCCGTGCCAACCGTTGAAATATTCAAATMTAATTTGCATCTCATTTCCTCACTTGACCATATTTGGAACAATTGATTTACCCTATAGCCAATCAGAACGGGCCTTAAAACTCTTATCCGATGGCCGAATTTTCCAAATATCGTTCGTTTTCGAATTTTTAATGAGCTTTGAATATTCCGACGCTTGGTACTAAAGAAATGTACGGGCGCTACACGTTTAAAGTCCCTTACAGGTTTCTGGAATCACTCAATTTGTATTAGCAGAATTTGCTTAGAATTTGAAGTAGTTAGAGTATAGCTCTGCAAAAATCTGGTAGACTCAAATAAAATCCCATAGAGATGCAGTCTATCCCATTATTGCTCTTCTTCTCTTTAAAACTGAGACATAACGATGACAAAAAATTTATTCCCAGGAATAATTGCAATTCTAAACTTTTTAAAAGGCCGATTTAGACGACACATGCGACCTGCGTAAGTCAACTGTCAACTGTCGTGAGCATGACGACTTCACACCGATCTAAATGTGTCTCCATAAATTAACGATTTAC